GGGAGGGGGGAGAGGAGAGGGGGAGAGGAGAGGAAAGGAGGAGAGAGGGGAGAGGAGAGGAAAGGAGGAGAGAGGAGAGGAGAGGAGAGAGGAGAGGAGGAGAGAGGAGAGAGGAGAGGAAAGGAGAGAGGAGAGGAGAGGGGAGAGGAAAGGAGGAGAGAGGAGAGGAGGAGAGAGGAGAGGAAAGGAGGAGAGAGGAGAGGAGAGAGGAAAGGAGGAGAGAGGAGAGGAGAGGAGAGAGGAGAGGAGAGGGGAGAGGAAAGGAGGAGAGAGGAGAGGAGAGGAGGAGAGAGGAGAGGAAAGGAGGAGAGAGGAGAGGAGAGGGGAGAGGAAAGGAGGAGAGGAGAGGAGAGGAGAGGAGAGAGAGGAGAGTAACTTGAAAGTGCTTCACAGCCTGAACTAGACACCACCTGCTCCTGACAACATGCTTTCCAGGGTCTTTGTTTATGAAATCCCTTTAAAACACATTTAACCAATCACAAACATGATCACACACACATAAGCACCTGGTCGTGACAATCTGACCAATGAGGTGTGGACATCCAAACAGTCTCTCTCCTGTGGAACAAGGATCTGGAAGACCCGGAAGTCTTTGCATCGCAAGATCAACTGACTTCCTGCGGGGATGGTGGGGGTCCTCTCCACACTGCTCACCATACTGTGCAACACCTGGAACACACACACACGTTATTTTATACACTGTTGACACAGTGACAATGTTCCGCTTTCTCTATTGGTTCCTTTTGTTAATAACTAATGAGGCTTTTAATTAATCTTATTAAGTACACAAGTAAGGAATTTCAAACAGCACTATAAAAAAAACAAAAACAACACAAGCCACATTATTGAGTTATCTAGTTTTCAACGCAAGCTATAGGGATCTGCTTTCTTTGTTCCTTTGAACCCAGTATACGGTCTGGGAGAAATCGAACCCCGCTGGAAGCCTATTTTATGTGGTCAGGTCCAGAGGGACAGGGCAGTGTCCCCCACCCCCTCTTTAAGCAGGTTATTCAGTTACATTGAAACAGCCTTTTTCAGACAAGGATAGGAGTCAGCAAATGAAGAAAGAACACCAGTAGAATCTGAGATGTGACTGTGAGTGTAGAGGCGCTCAGGGCTCACTGCTCACCCAGGACTCCTTGCGTGTCTCTGGGTTGTTCTCTACAAAGATGGTGTGCGTGGCAGAGAGGTAGAGAGTCCCAATGCTGGCCTTTCTCTGTCCTGACGACCGGTCGAGGAGACGCACATTTTCCACCTACCAGAGGCAACATATCAGAGACAGAAAAATCTAAACATGACAAATACATAGGAAATATGTCTCTCCACTCACATAATCACTACATAGTTTATTAACTGTAATAGAAGCTCCCAACAGCCTCTGCCATGACTCATCAGATTACAACATTCACTGAGCTAAATCTTGTCATCCAGTAAGTGTTGCCACATATGACATAGTTATGAGAATGTGTGTAGTACATGATTAGTAATGTTCCTTATAAAGCCTATCAGACCATGTGGAAACAGGGAGGATGGTCCTTTGAGGCCCCTGTGCCTTTAAGAGGTTGGCAGACAGGAGGAAAGGGTTGTTTTTGTATCACCATTACAGGACAGAATAATAGATCACACATTCCTATTGCATAACAAACAAAACCTGTTGATGTCAGCGCACGAGCACATGAGCATCATAAAACCACAGCACCACACGCGCCAGCTGTGTTTAGAGTTACGACAATAATTTAGAGGTTGAACACAATGTTATTGGTTTAATGTGTAGGCTACCGTCAATGTGTTTGGTAAATATTTGTTAAGCAGAATATTAACTGGACACAAGAACGTGTTCCCGGGGCTGTCCCTCAGACAGCCGGTACTGTGGAGCTGCCCGCGGGGTTCAGCAGAGACAGAGCGGGGAGAGCTGATGCAGAACGAACCTGGCGGGTCATTGAATAAAAGCTAAGCGAGAGGGCACACCAGAGAAAACACAGCCGAGGACAGAGGAGGGACGTTACGTGAAGTCCCTGCTGGAGAAATGCCGAGCGTTGTTACCTTGGGCGTCCGGATGTGCTCCATCACTGACAACCAAAATGGAGGAGATGGAGAGAGTGTGGTGTTCTGTGTTTTCGCCGTCAGCTGTTATATTCCCTGATTTACGTCAAAACATAAGCTGTGTTCTTCGAGGCCGATGTTCCCGCGCTGGCAAGGTATATTTCCCATGATAACCGGTACCCAGACTTTGTTCCGTTAAACTGGAAGGAAATGATTCTTTACTAACGGTATCCCGGCCCGGTAACGGTACCAGACTATCTCCTCGGTCTCCTCTCTCGGTGACGCTGAGAACAGCTGCGGTGATGCGTTCCACACGTAACGTTAACAACAGAACGTGCGGGGCCTCCGGTTATACCTTTCAAAATAAAAGCCAGTGTTTCCCTATGAGGAGGAAGACTTGTTCCAACAGTGGTGGCGTTCCCTGTCGGAGATTCTCATTCTCACAACAAGACCTTCATAGACTTACACATCCTTTCCTTAACACATATAATTATAATCAGAGGTGGAAAGTAGCGGAACACAAATACTTTGTTACTGCCTGCCCACTTAAAGAGCAACTTCCAGGTTAAAGACACCTGTGAATAAATGTGTAGGAAAATGATGAATACACTAGATTTTCAAAAAAATATACAGAAATATACACTACAGTGACATCTGGCGTCATTTTTTAAAGAAATGTTCACTTCCGCATAAAAAAGCCTCGGCACGTGAACTCCCACGTGTGACGTAACATGGGGGAAACAAGGGGGAGAGCGGCCGGTGTAACGTGTAAGTAAACATGGATCCCAATGCTAGTTTCGACACAGAAGACACAGAAGAAGTTGAACATGAATATTCGAATGCATATGACGAACCACAACCTTATAATTATGAGCCTGCTAGGCGTCCAAGAGACCAGGAGCAGCCAAGGATTAGAAGAAATAACGGCCATCGGAGAGAAATTGAGCTGTGGTGTGAGGAGAACCAGTGGAGAACTGGGCAGCTATCTTGGTGAGTGACCGGCGTTAGCTACAGAATGTTAGCTAACGTCACATCACAACATTGTGAAGTTAGCTATCATATATCAGGCTATAACTAAATTAGCATTGATAATATAGTAACGTTACTGGCAGGACTGTTGATACTGATCCATAACAGAAACTAATGCGCAAGTATCAGCCGTATCTCGCGTTACCTAATGCAACTCCACACTACGGTGCTGTGTACCGGAGGGGAGACGCGAGATACGGATGATACTTGACGATCTGGCGGAGAAAGGTTGTGGAGCCTCCGTTGATACGCCGTTGTAAATGGCTTGATGGAAAGCAGGTGTGTAGTCGGGGAGGGTGCACAGCTGATTGCAGCAGGTGAGTGGAGGTTGAGCCGGGAGCCAGGAG